GGTCGCAGCACAGCAGAGCGGGCGAGCAGGAGCGGGGCGCAGGGCGGGGCGAGGAGGACGAGGGGGAGGAGGAGCACGGGATTGGGGGAGCGAAAAGAGCGGCAGAGAGGGGGGGAGTAGCAGGCATGGGTGGTATGAGCGGCGGCGGGCGTGGGGGAGGGGGGAAGGTCAGGGGCAGTCATGAGGGGCCGTACCTGGTGCGGCTGAAGGGCGAGGACGGGGGGGAGGAGGGTGGAGGAGAGCTTGTGGGGCGCAGTGAGTGGCGTGGTGGCAGCGCCGCCAGCAGCAGCAGGCACTCTTACGACTCAAACCCTGACCTGAGCATGGCTATGAATGGCATGAGCATGGGCATGGATGACGGGGGCATGGGCATGGATGGCATGGGTGCGGGCAGCAGCAGCAGCAGCAGCAGCAGTGCCCTCATCCGCCAGCGCACCATGCCTCTGCCCTGCCCCTCCCACCGTGCGCTCTCAGCTGCGCCCTCTCTCCCCCCCGGCCACTCCCCCACGCCCTCCCCCATGGTGGGCGCAACACACAGCGCGGACACCAGCGCGGGCAGCCCCTATGCCTCCGCGGACGCCCCCTCGTGGCTGCCCCGCCAGCACACCATGCCCGCCTCCCTGCCCCCCCCTGTGCCCGCCCCTTCCTCCCCCGCGCCCGCCTCCCCCGCCTCCGCCTCCAGAACCGCTGCAGGGGCAGGGGCAGGCGCAGGGGGAGGCACAGGGGCGGAGGCGGGCGGGGCGGGCGGGGGGAAGGGGCTGAGGGAGCGGCGGCCGCTGGCTTCAAAGCTAAAGGCGCTGCTGGAGTTGAAGCCGCTGAGAGGGGCGGGGGGGGAGGGCACGGGCGAGGGGGGCAAGGGGGCGAGCGCGTGGCGGCTGGGGGCCGTGGGGCAGGTGAGTCCCCTGCAGGGCGCTGCCTGGTACGTCCAGCAGGCCTTCGCCCCCCGCTCGCCCAAACCCGCGAAAGCAGCGCACGCGCAGAGGGAGCGAGGCCGGGAGGGGGCGGGTAGCGGAGGCGTGGCAGGAGGGAGGGGCGAGGGCGCGGAGAGAGGGGTGGGGAATGGAGTGGGCGAGGGGATGGGGGAAGAGGAGGAGGGCGAGCAGTGGGGCATGCAGGGGGTGGTGGCGCGGAGGAGAGGAGGGGTGGAGGAGCAGGAGGTGTGGAACAGCGGTGCTGTTGCCATGTCGGAGGGCAGAGGCATGGGGGGCGGGGGCATGCAGCCACACATGGGCGTGGGCGTGGGGATGGGGTTGCAGTCTTATTCCATGCACATGGGCCCTCCCAGAGGCGTGGGGATGGGCATGGGCGTAGGCATGGGGGTGCAGTCGAATTCAATGCACATGGGCCCGCCAACAGGCGTGGGCATGGGCGTGGGCATGGGCATGGGGGTGCAGTCATACTCCATGCACATGGGCATGCCCTTGCGCTCCGCCTCCCATGCGCAGCCCATGGCAGGGGAACCAGGCATGGGGACGGGCATGGGGACGGGCATGGGTGGCGGCAGGAGGAGCATGGGGGGAGGTGGGGGTGCAAGGGAGGAAGCAAGGCCGGCGGTGGGGGAGGAGGTGTACAGGAGGAGCGCGAGCTCGAGGGGGCTGGAGGAGGGCGGGGCCATGGGGGCAATGGTGCAGGCGGGCGGGAGGGACCAGGCTGGCGCTATGGGAGGGCGGGAGGCAGGGGGGTGGGGCAGTGGGGACGCGAGGAGTTGGGGCAGTGCGGGCAACGTGGCAGCAGCCGGGCGAGGAGACGCGTACGGGGCGGAGCAGAGCTTGGATCGCCGCGCTGACGGCCATAGTGTGGGCAGCGCCCCCCCCCAGCAGCAGCAGCAGCAGCAGCAGCATATGAGATTTCTCAAGAGTGATACAGCAGCGGGGCGCATGGAGGGCGAGCGAGCAGCAGGGGCGGGTGCGGGGCCCACAGGCAGTGAGGGCCAGGCGTTGTCCCAGGTGCCACCGGACCTGCCGTGGCTGCCCCCGCCAGACGCCCCCCAGTTCGTGCAGGTCAGTCAGAGCGGGGGATGGGTGAGCGCACATGAGCGCCTGCACTATGAGCGCACATGAACGCCTGCACTGTGAGCGCACATGAGCGCCTACACTGTGAACGCACATGAGCGCCTACACTGTGAACGCACCAAAGCCCCTCCACTTGCCACCTGCCACCTTCCTGCCCCATTCCCCTGCCTCCCTCACCACTTTGTGTGCCCTTCTTGTACTCCCACCTTTGTCTCCTTCACTCCCTTGTGCCTCCGCCACCCGTACCCCTCGTCCCTCCCCCGTGCGCACTGCAGTGCCAGCACTGCGGGCAGACGCTAGCAGTGCCGCAGAATCTGCCGCGCAGCCGCAAGAACAAAATGGTGCAGCGCCTCAGGTGCGGCAGCTGCCTCGCCATCTCCTCCTTCGCCATCCCGGACCCCCCTTCCTCTCACCCCCCCTCCTCCGCCGTCCCCTCCGCCCACCCCTCCTCCGCCCTCCCCTCCTCCGCTTTTCCCGCCTCCCACTCCCTGCCCCTCCACCTCCACTCCTCTCCCTCCCACACTTCCCCAGAACCCTCACAACCTGCTCGCCCTCCTGCCTTCACCCCACAACATCCTCAGTATAGCCAGCAGCAGCAGCAGCCACAACAGTATAGCCAGCAGCAGCAGCAGCAGCAGCAGTATAGCCAGCAGCATCAACAGCAACAGTATAGCCAGCAGCACTATAACCAGCAACAGAAACCGCAGCAGCAGCAGCAGCAGGTGCGCATGAGTGAGAGGGAGTGGCAGCAGCAACGGCAGGCAGCAGGCCCCATGAGCCGCTCCTCCTCCTCCCCGGGCATACACCCCCACGCTGCTGCTGCCTCCCCCGCCCTCTCCTCCTCGCCCTCCCCTCTCCACCTCCCCCACCACCACCTCCCCGCCGCCCCCTCCTCGTCGTTTTCCTCCGCTCCACCTGGTGCTGACTGGACACCGCCCCCTGCTGACTGGACGGAGCGGGCGGCGGATTCCCCGGTGATGAAGCGCCTGCAGAACGGGGCACGGGCGAGAGGCACTTGGGAGGAGGAGGCGCAGCAGCGGGGGGCGGCAGGAGCGGGTGGCAGAGTGCAGGGCGGGCTGGAGGAGGAGCTGGGGGCGAGGTGGCAGGGGGAGGGGCAGTGGCGGGCCGGGCGGCAGGAGTCGTATGGGAGTGGGAGTGGGGGAGAGGCGTACTGGGAGGAGGGGGGGTCGTATGGGAGGGGTGTGGTGGTGAATGACAGCCCTGTTGCTGATGGCCTCGTGGCCCAGGCTGAACTCACTGCCGGCCCCATCCTCCCCGGCCACTACTGGTACCACCCACCCACTCATGCCCGCCTCATGCTGCTGCCATGCCACCATTCTTTTTCCGCCTTGCACGGTGCCCCGTGAACCTTGCACCTTGCGCTTTGCCTATTGCGCCTTTCACCGTGCATTGACACACACCTTGCATTGCCGCTGTCCTCGTGCCGCGCCTCTCACCTGCGGCACCGTGCCACCCACCATTCTTCCCTCCCCCTCTCTCCCAGGTACGACCACAGAGCTGGCTTCTGGGGGGTCGTGGGCGGCCCGTGTCTCGGCATCATCCCCGTAAGCCATTCTTGCTCCCCCTCCTCGCACCACCCACCTATCACCCTCCTGCTACCATCGCTGTCACCCCCCTGCTACCGCCTCCTGTGAGTCGCACCACTCCCATCCCAACCCCCCCCCCCCCCCCCTGGCACTCCCGTGCGCGCGTGTGTGTGCATGCAGGCGCGTCTGCCGCAGTTCCCAGAGGTCATGCAGCGAGAGTGTTCGGGCGGCAGGACGGGAGTGGTGGTGAACGGCAGGGAGCTGCAGCGCCGCGACCTCGACCCTCTTGTGCGCCGTGGCGTGCCAGCGGTGCCGCACCGCGCGTACCTGTTGGACCAAGACGGCCGCATGCTGGACGCCGCCTCCGGTGCCCTCGTCGCCAACCTCGGCCCCCTCGCCCCCTCGTGAGTGGCTACCTCGTCGCAGGGTGTTTTTGAGAATTCTCAAAAACACCCAGCGGTGCCGCACGTGTGCTCGACGCCGCCTCCGGCTCCCTCGTCGCCAACCTGGGGCCCCTTGCACCGTCGTGAGTCTCCCTCACACACTGCCGTGTCGCTCGGCTGTCACATGCTCATCCTCCATGCATGCAAGCTCTCTTTGCAGGATTCGTTTCCACTTGCTTACTCTCAACGTAGATGATGTTTGTTGTAAGGTGACTGTGCATGCTCCAGATGCAGCTGGCACCTGCTTCTCTCTTTTGAGTTGCACCATATCCTCGTGCTCCCCCCTTCCCATACAGGCTCAAAACTAAGCGAGGGAATGGCATGTTCTCTCCACAAACAAACTGATTATTGGCTTGTGTTTAGAATGGGTCAGAATCCAAGTGTTTTGTGTAGGTTGCCCCATCACCTTGCAGTTGAATGAAGCATTTGCGAGCAGGCAAATCATCTTCTTTCTTGTAGTTTTGCAATGTTACCTTTTACTAAAAATATATACCCTATACGTATCACACTTCGATACACTTGCTCCGAACTGTTCTCGACGATGCGCGGGAAATTTACCCCTCGTGAATCAAAGCGCGACGCGGTCAGTACTCGAGGGGTCCCCCTGGGCTTGCGCTGGATCAGATTGTCAAATCCCGAAGGTTGTCACCGAGCCGCATGGGAAGGGGCGGTGGCAGAAAGTGACCTGACACGACATGTCAATGTCGAGGCGAGGTAAAATCCAGAATTCAGTCAGACATTTCTTTTCTCCCTCGACCAACTCCGTTCTGTTTTCAAGGCTCCACGATTTCAAAAGGCCGCCACTTGGCTTGTTTCCACTTTCACTCTGGTTTGTATCAGTAGATCGGGCTTGCTAGCTTGCTTTTGTTGCTGATGTTTCTATAGATTTGGACGTGATGGCAGCAGCATATAAGTCAGGTAGATACGACGGATATGGCGTTTCATTTGATTCGCGATCGGGGTATTACGAGACTCCGCAGCGAGAAAGAGACGGCGCGATGTCTGCCTCGGACGAGGAGAGCCGTTATTGCAATCTTAAAGCGGACGCGCAGGTAGGAGCATGGAACGCATCAGCAGATCCAGCGGGACCATCGCCATCCTTGGCAAAGGCAGCGTCGTGGCTCATGCGCAAAGACAGCCCGCCTGTCAATGTCACGCCGCCCGGCCTTCTGCCGGCGTCTCCGTCTCGCAGCTCAGACGGCCAACCGTCCGCTCAGTCGGTAGACCTCGAGATGGACGGCGGGGGGCCGGCAGCGGAGCAGCCGGTGGGGCGGTCAAGCGCCGTGTGGCTGCCTCTGCCGTCGCCGCGCGTGCAGGAGGAGTTCGCCGGCTTGGCAGCGCAGGAAACGAGGCGGCAATCATCGGGGGTGGTTGCGCGGAAGCAGCAGAGGAGCGAGAGCAGAAATGTTCCCTGGTCGTTTCACCAGCTGCTTCAGGCGGACGCGGCAGGCGAGGAGCGCGTGGAGGCGGCGGAGCAGAGAAAGCAGATCCCACGGCGAAAGTCGCTCGAGACGAGAAGGGTGAGCAGAGAGGCACGTGCTCGACAGCAGGACAAGGAAGTCAGGGCGGCGGCGCGCGATCACTCGCTAGAAAGAGTAGCGCGCCATCGATCAGCGAACGTGGATCGGAACCGTTCGATCCAACTAGGTAGCACGCGAGAGGCGCGGACGCGTTGGCCGCAACGACGAAGCGCAGCTGAGCGTCGCGCGGACGACAAGGCAGCGGCGAGTTCGGACAGCTCGTCCGACAGCGAATGCGAAAGTAGAATCGAGGGCGCGCGCAGGGGGCAGGAGGGACGCGAGAGGAACGGAAGAGAGGCGACGAACGATAACCCAGTGAGGGCCATGAGGGAAGGAGGCAAAGCGACAGATTTCCGGCACGACGGGCTGGGGGACGCCGTGGGAGAGGAGTGGGGCACGCGAGACGAGGGGGTGGAGGTAGAGGGGCCGGAGGACGCGGGGCGTGATATTGGCATCTTGGTGATGGGGCACCCCGTGCTGCCGCACGACGTGCCTGCGCGCGTCGACGCTGAGCACTGGGAGAGCCAGGCGGCGGGAGAGAAGGCTGCGGGAGTGCGCGAGGGGGAGGGGGGGATTGAAGGCCAGGTTGAGAACGAGGGCGCGGCGCTGCGGTTGGCGGGGTTACTAACGGACGACATGCTGCAGTGCAGCTTCATGGACCCGGGCAAGCGCGCGCTGGGCCTCGCGCACGACGACGACCACGACGAAGCTGCGCATAACCGCCGCGTGCGCGCCAGCGCCAATGATCATTTGCACGAATCGACTCATCGGACCAGCGAAGCCGCCCTCTCACAGCACCGCCTCTTTCCTCCGCGCTCCGACGCCTCCCCTGCGTCTGCGCCCGCTCTTCATAACTCCTTGCTGAGCGCCACCGATGCCCCGCGAGGCGGTCTCGTGTTCGGCGTGCCCGTGTCCGCCCCGCTCCTTGCCTCCTCCGCTTCCCTGTCGGCCTTTGCCCCCACCGCCAATTCTTCCGCCACTTTCGGAGCGCCCGCGGTGACACGGCTGCCGCTGTCGGTGCTGCAGCACGGGTCGCTCGTGTGTCTGCTGGCCGGCTCCTCGCGACTGGCGGCCGTGCGCTATCAAGGAAGGTACGTCCGCCAGACGACACGCCGTGCCGCGTGGGTCAGACGAATGCGCGTGCACTCTGCTTCCTGACGCCTACGAAGCCGAGTGACAACACTTGCAGGAACGGCCGCTTTTCCAACTCATTCGATCTAATCGTAGGTTTCCCTTTTTCCCGTCCTACCCTTTGCCTCGTGCCATTCACTGACGGCTGGCTGGCAGGTGGGAGCTGGGCACGCCGACGCCGTCAAGCGTTGACGACGGCTCCAATGCCCTCGCGGCCTCTCCCGCCGACCCGCTCCGCCGCTCCGCCCACGCCGCGTCGCTGGCCGTGTGCGCGTCGCTCACGGGCGGTCTGGGCCGCTGGCCGCTGGACTGCCTCTTCGTGCTGCTCGTCGTCGCGCCCGCCCGCATCGCGCTGCGCTCCCTCGCCGCCGACGGGCGCTGCCTCTCCGCCGCGCTGCTGCCCGGCGAGCGCGACTCGTTCCGCACCTGGTGAGCGCCGCGTGGGGGAATCTTGGGGGAAAAAGGAAGGCGTGTGGTGGGGGGGGGGGGGGGGGGGGGGGGGGGGGAGACGGGGAGTGAGATGGGGGAGTTGTGAATTGCATGTTTGTGCATGGGGAAATTGAACTGCCTCATGTGTCGTACGGCTCGTCAAACCCCACGTGCCACTCACTCCCTGCCGTCCCACTGCTTGCCGTGTGCGCCGTGTGCGCGCGCAGGTCCGTGGGCGACGCGGAGACCTGGGAGGTTCTGCCCGCCGGCGCCGTGGGGGAGGGGGCGGCGGCAGCAGGGGAGGAGGGTGACGGGAGTGCGGAGAGCGCGGGCGGGTGGAGCTGGGGGAGGGAGGGCGTGGTGGAGGGCGGAGTGCTGCTGCGCAGCTGCGCCAGCCCCGCGCGCGTGCTGGACGTGGCGCTGTTCGGGCTGCTTGCCAAGACGCTCTCCGCGTGGCGCCACATGGAGGCCGCCGCCGCCGCTGCGCCGCTGCTGCACCACCAGGCGAGTGGGGAGCGGGTGAGGGCGGGTGAGAGCGGGTGGGATCGAGTGCGCGTGAGGGGTGCGGACCCGATCGGCCGTTTTCCTCGCACGAGCCGTTCTGTGTTTCGCGATTCTGTGGTGCTGTGTGTCGACCGGGTGTTGCCCTATGGTGACGTGTGCTCATGCGTTGCCGTGTCTTACCGTCTGTCGCCGGGTGTCACTATGTGTTGCCGTGCGGTGCAGGTGAGGCAGCTACACCATCGAGCGGGCGAGGAGGAGGCGGCGAGGCGAGAGGCGGAGGGGGCGATGGCGGAGCGGCGGCAGCGGTGGGAGGAGGAGAGCGCGCGCATGCGCGCGGAGGCGGACGAGCAGCGCGACACCATCGAGCAGCTCAACGACCAAGGTACGCCCTCCCTCGGATGCTCTGCACGCCATCAACTGCTCTGCGCGCGGTGCTCCGTGCACTGCGCGCATCCGCGCTGCCATGTGTGAGAATTTTCCTACGTGAAGGGCACTGCGCTGCGCTCTGCTCCGCTCTGCGCTGCTTCACCGCCACGTGCCCTGCCGCCGCACTTGGCGTCGTTCGCTTCTCTCCCCTCGCTCTCGCCGCCCTTCCATTTAGCCTCTCAACCACTCTCGCTCTTCTCTTCTACGCATCAACCCGTCGCCCCCCTTCCGCAGTGAACTCGCTCGGCGCGGATCTCGAGCGCGCCGTGGCGCTGCTTGAGGCCGCCAGGCCCGCGCTGAAGGGGGCGCGCGGAGGGCCGCAGCGGGAAGCAGAGTGGGCGGAGGTGGATAGCATGGGGAAGGCGACTTGCGCGGAGGGCACGGGAGGCAGTGCGGTGAGTGAGGCGAGGGGAGGCGATGGCGGGGCACCGGCGGATGCGGACGACGAGGGGGAAGATGCGCGCGAGGCAGGGTGGGCGGATGTGAGCGGCGGAAGCGGCAGTTTCACTTCCGCCAACCCTCATGGGCCCCCCAGCCGTGCGCCTCCCACTCGCGCCCCTCCCGCTCCTGCGCCACCCACGGTCGCCCTGCGTGGCCACGGCGCCAGTCACGGAGCACCGCGGGAGGGGCAGCAGGACAGCCGCGGCGGCGGCAACAGTGCCGCGCGCTCCCCCGCCACCAGCGGCATTTCGGCCGTGGCTCGCGCGCTCTCCGCCTCCTCCGCCTCCCCCTCCGACTCTGAGACTGACTGCGGCAGCGGAGCTTCCCCCGGCCGCCGCAGACCCCCGTACGTCATTGCGGAGCAACCGCAGCTCCGCGCGCACTATCGGCCAGCCAGCGGCGGCGGCAACAAGTTTTGGCAGGCGGCACGATCGGCGGGCGGTAGGGGAGGCGCGGAGACGCGGAACAAGAGCGATGCGGCTTCGGTACGGGCCGAGGGGAAGGGTGGCTCGCACGGCGCGCAGGGCGCTTCAGCCGTGGAGTCGGGCGTGTTGCTTCGCCGAACCTTCTCCCCCATGCGCGGCCGCCGCAGCCTCTCGTCGTCGAGAGCGGACGCGGGCGCAAGCCGCGGGGTGGGGGACGGCGGGGGCGCAAGCCGAGGGGTGGGGGACGCGGGGGGCGCGAGAAGCGCGCTGCAGCATGTGATGGGGAGGGCTGCGGGGGCTCTGGGGGCAAGGGGGACGCGCGGGGAAGAGAGCGCGGAAGAAGGGCGGCGGGGTGCGAGGCATCCCGCGAGGGCAAGAGAAGAGCGCGAGGGGGCGCAAGTAGGGGCAGGGGGGGGCGGAGAGGAGGCGGTGGGAGTTGGGCTGAGAGGAGAGGGGGAGGCTCGCACGCAGCACGGGGAGGGCGGAGAGCGGATGGGCGGAGGGGGGGAGGGAGCTATCCGGGGTATGGCGCAGCGGGCGCAGCGTGGGGGCCCGGAGGCGTGGGTGGCGGAGCATCAGCGCGTGGTAGTGCTGGAGGAAGTGGCGGCTGGGGGAGAGTTGGCGCGCTGTGAGGCGGAGGAGGCGAGAGGGACGAGCGCCGCGAGTGGGGGGAGTGAGCCGAGCGGTACGAGCGGCGCGAGTGGCATGAGCGGCATGAGTGGGGTGGACGAGGAGTGGGAGGAGCAGTGCACGGAGCAGGGATGGGTGCTGCGCCCTGTGTCACGTGCAGGCGCGGGGGCGGGGCCAGGGTTGAATTCACAGGCTCGCTCGTATGGCGTGTGCTGCACTGCGGACGATGACGTGGCGGATGACGTGGAGGATGAGGTGGACTCGGAGCAGGTTCGGCAGTCACAGCAGCAGGCGCGGATGGGTGGGAGCGCGGGAGAGGGCAACGGGGAGAGCAGTGGGGGGAGCGGAAGCGACACTGGGACGGGGTCAGGTAGGGGCGGTACAGCAGCAGTGGCAAGGCCAGCGGCTGGGGCGGGCGCAAGCGGTGGGATGGTATGCAGCGGGGCAGCAGCTCGTGCTGCCCACACGGGCCTTCAAGGGGGGCCTGGCGCTGCTGCTGCTGCCGCTGCTCCCGCTGGTGCTCGTGCCACTGGTGCTGCTGGTGCGAGCAGTGGATGCGCACGGGGCTCCACAGGGGGGGCAGGGGCACAGGCGCAGGGGGCGGAGGGCGGGCGGGCAGGGGAGGGGGCGGGAGAGGAGCCCCCCTCTGCGCTGAAGCAGCGTGTGGCGGCCCTGCGCTCGCGCGTCTCCGCCCTGCGCGCCACCTCCTCCTCCCTCCTAGCCCCCGCTCCTGCCACCGCTGCTGCTGCCGCTGGCGCCGGTGCTGGTGGTGGGAGAGGGGCGGGTGGCATCACTGCTGGGGTGGCGCAGGGAGGGGAGCAGAGAGGGGTTAGTGCGCGCGTGGGGGAAGGCCAGGGCGCAGAGGCTAGACGGGGGGGGCTTGCAGGCATACAGGAGGGCGGCAGTGAAAGGAGCGGCAGCGACAACAGCAGCATGTGGGGCAGCGGCAGTGCTGGATACAGTGCTGCCATTCCCACTAGCTTGACACACGCCGCTGCTGCTGCTGCCAGAGGATTTGTGAGTGCGACTCACAGGCAGTTCGGTGCTGGCAGCAGGGCGGATGGGCGGCAGGCAGGGTGGCAGGACGGTGGGAGTGAAGGGAGGGGTGTGAGGCAGGGCGGGAGGGGAGTGGAGGAGGGGAGTGGCGGTGGTGGTGGGGAGAGGTGGGCAGGTGTGCTACGAGAGAGGAGTGGCAATGTGCCGGAAGGACCACCCAGGGAGCTCAAGAAGACTGCCAAGGCGCCCGCAGCAGCCCCAGCAGCAGCGGCAGCAGGGAGTGGTGGGCCAAGGCCAGGCCTTGTGCCAGTGGATCCGGGGGAGCGGCATCTGCAGTCGCTGCTGCCCATGCGCGTGCTGGTGCGGGAGAGGGCCTCGCAGCACGGGGGAGAGGCGGCAGGGGCGCAGCAGAGCAGCGGTGAGGGCAGTATGTGGCACGTGGGCATGGAGCAGAGAGGGGCAGTGGGAAGGGAGATGCGTGTCGCCGGCCGCACTCTCTCGTCCACCTCGGCGTCCTCTGACTCGCACGCCCTCCCTGTGCTCCTGCACTCGCCCCGCCACCCTTACAGCAGCAGCAGCCCGCGGAGTGCGAGTGGAGGGTCGAGCCCTGCCCTGGGCTTGCTCACGCGCTTCCTCTCCCCCTCTCGCCGCTCCCCGTCCCACCCTAGCCACCACCAGCACCCACAGCAGAATCCACAGCAGCAGCAGCACACGGTGACACAGTCAGGTGCTGCAGTCCCACAGGCAGCAGCAGCAGCGGGCGTGCGGCGCAGCAGTCAGGGCAGGCAGGGCAGCAGCGGGCGGGCGTCGTCCCCCTCGCGGCGGCTGTGGGCTGTGGGGCGGTCCACAGAGAGGCGCACAGAGGAGCGGTATGGGGGGCGAGGGCAGAATGGGGCGTGGGGGAGGGGCGCAGCAGAGCAAGCGCAGGAGGACTCAATGAGCAGCACAGGAGGTGAGTCGTGCATGTGGCAATGTTGAGGCATTCTTGAAGGTACCTCAGAGGCAGCGGCATGTGTGCATGGCTGTCTGGGCATGTGAACGCTGCTGCTGTCAGAATGAGAAATGCACTGTCCTCATCCCCATCACTGTTGCTCCTCCTGTCTCTGCACTGCACCCTTCCCACCCCTCTCTGTCTCTGCCACTGCTTCTCACTCTTATCCTTCTCATCCCCTTGCCTCTCCCTCCTCTGCACCCCCCTGCGCTCATTCTATCTCCTGTTGCTCTTCTCCCTCCAGGAGTGTGCTCGTAACTCCACGCTCGACTAGTGTGCCTGTTTAGTGTGTCTTGCCAATTTTAGTCAGTATTTGTTGGGAGTTTGAAACGCAGCAACAGAAATGGCATTTTGATGCTGACTCTTCCTTTTTCTAGCCTTTTTGTTTTTTTTTTTTTTTGGCATGTTTTTTTTTTTTCCAGCCTATTACGGTATAAGAAATACTAACAGCGACTGACTTCCTATTGTACTGTAATTCTGTAATTCATGTCTAGTGTTTGTCCTTAACCAATGTGGGGGCCTGGTTTCCAAGTTTGCTCTAGATCACAATGTCCAATTTCGTTACTCATCCTAAGAGAAGGCGGCCACACAGCAGTTCAGTTGTCTCGGCTTTATTGTATTTGAGAGCTACTTTTATACTGGATTGCAGTTCTCATCCTAAAGATAATCAAAATCACAGTTCAAGAAGAGCAGAGATAACCAAGAGCACCTATACCGTAGCAAGCACAGCGATTGCTCGCTTGCTTGGCCTTGGCGTGGCAGGGCAAGAGCGAGGCAGAGGCAAGGGGCGCTTAGGCGAGAGCCTTGGGCTTGCTCTTGGAGTTGAGCTGCACCTTCTTGCCCGTGGGCGGCTGCAGGGAGAGAGGGGGGCGGGTAGGTGGGATGGGGAGGGGTGGGCAGAGATACGTTGGGAGGGCGAAGGAAAGCTGAGGGAAAGGCGCTGGGCAGCAGGCAGGGGCGGGAAGGGCAGGGGAGGGTGGAAAAGGGTGTGGTAAGGCAGGGCGGGGCAGGGCAGGGCAGGGCGGGGCAGGGCAGGGCAGGGCAGGGCAGGGCAGTGCAGGGCAGGGCAGGAGGAGGGCACTTACAACAGAGAGCTCCTCCTCGTGCTTGGCAATGAAGCTGGTGTCCACCCTGCCCTCCTTGAACTCTGGCACGTCCAATATCAGCTTGTGGAAATCAATGGTCGTCGGCACGCCTGGAGGGGTGGGATACACGGGCAGCAGAGAGTGGGAGACGAGCGGGTGTGAGGCAGGCGAGAGAGAGAGAGAGAGAGAGAGAGAGAGAGAGAGAGAGAGAGAGAGAGAGAGAGAGAGAGAGAGAGAGAGAGAAGGGGTGTCCACCTTGCCCTCCTTGAACTCCGGCACGTCCAATATAAGCTTGTGGAAGTCGATGGTCGTTGGCATGCCTGGGCGGGAAGAAGACAGATGGGCAGCATGTGAGGGAGAAGAGCAGGTGTGAGGGAGGCAGGGGAATGGGTGGTGGATCGGTAGCGATGGAAGAAGTGGGGCTCAGTGGTATGGCTGAAGGGTTGAGGGGGGAGAGGCGCAGTGGTGGTGGTACCCAGATGTGATTGTAACAAGGGAAAAGGGGCGCAGAATGCATGCACGAGATGGTAAGGGAGAAAGGGGAGCAGTGGGCGCACCTGAGATGATGGTGTCGTGCAGCGCTCTCTTCATCCTCTCAATGGCCCTCTCCCGCGTGGGCGCCCACACGATCAGCTGCTCGCCAGCAGGATGATTCGCGGGGAGGAGTGTGGAGAGGGAAGGAGTGGGGAGAGGGAAGGAGTGGGGAGAGGGAAGGAGTGGGGAGAGGAGAGTGAGAAGGCAGGCAGTGAGGCTAGATGGAGGCAGGGAGAGTGACGAGCAGCACAGCAGGCTGGATGGAGGCTAGCTGCTTGCGGAGAAGCGAGTCAACGCAGGTACCCTACCCACCTTGCCGAGCAGGGAGTCGTAGGAGGGCGGCACGAGGTAGTCATTGTAGATGTGGCTGTCCATGCGCACAAACGGCCCTCCGGGCGGCAGGTACGCGGTGATGCGCCCCGGGCCAGGGCGGAAGTTCTGGAAGGGGTCCTCGGCGTTGATGCGGCACTCGATGGCGTGCCCGCGCACGGTGATGTCCTCCTGCTTGTACCGCAGCTTCTCCCCCATCGCCACCCGGATCTGCTCCTCTATCAGATCCACTGAGGTGATCATCTCCGTCACCGGGTGCTCCACCTGCAAGGGGAAGGGGAGGGGGGGGAAGGAGGGGTACGGAGAGGGCGGGGGGGAAGGGGAGATGGCAGCGTGGAAGTGGGGTGTGAGTGGAAGGCAGGCAGCAGCACACGTCATGTCATGGAAGATGTATGAAGACAGCCTGGTAACTGGATGCCAGTACACAATGCATCTGCTACTTCTCAACTCTGAAGGAACAGGTTGGGTGATCAGTCGCCTAAAGTGTTTCTGCTTGTTGTCCAAGTGCCCCTGTCTCCGTTCCTGGATGCCCGTGTTCACCTTTCAACCACATGCGTTTGCTTCTCTTCCCACCTGCATCCGTGTGTTCCACTTTTTCACCTGCATCCCCCGCCCCTGTCCCCTGCGCTCACCTGGATACGCGTGTTCATCTCCATGAAGTAGAACTCGCCCGTCTCAGCCAGCAGGAACTCGATGGTGCCCACGCCCACATACCCAATGCTCTTCGCCGCCGCCACCGCCGCGTCGCCCATCGCCTTGCGGATCGCCGGGGTCAGCGCGGGGGACGGGCCCTCCTCCACCAGCTTCTGGTTGCGCCGCTGTAGTGTGGGAGAGGGGGAGGAGGGGGGGTGGGGAAGAGAGAGGAAGGCAGGGTGAGAGGGGGACAAGGGGAGCGGAGGGCGGGCGTCAGCGCGGGAGACGGGCCCTCCTCCACCAGCTTCTGGTTGCGCCTCTGCTCGGTGGGGGGGGAGGGGGAGGAGGGGAAGGGGAAGATGGGGGACAGGGGGGTGGGAGAGGGGGGCAGCGTGAGAAAGGGGAGAGCGAAGGGGGGGGGGAGAGGGAGCGGGAGAGGGGGTTGATCGGGACAGGACGAGTGCGGAGGAAAGGTGTAGAAGGACGTTCGGACAGGCACGCAGAGTGAGATCAGATTGACAAGTGCAGCAACAGGGTGTTTGCCACGTATGTGCAGGGAACGCGAGTGTTAAAATGCTCATACGCGCAGCACACGCCCTCCACACTCACACCCTCCTCGCCCAATGGTCTCGCAGCGTGCCCAGAGCAGGGAGAAGGAGCGTACCTGGATGGAGCAATCGCGCTCGAAGAGGTGGATGGCGTTGCCGTACTTGTCCGCCAGCACCTGGTGGCGGGGGGGAAGGAGGGGGAGGAGGGGGGAGGGAGGGGGGGGAGGGGAGGGGGTGGGTAAGGGAGGAAGGGATGCGAGGGGCGCAGGGGGGGATGAGAGGGTGTGAGAAGAGCATGACGGTATGCCAAAGAAATTGTTTGACAGACGACAACCCCCCCCACTGCACGCACATCTCTCTGCCCCTCCCTGGCTTCTCCTTGACCCAACTGCGCAATCCAACACCACGTGGCGGCATCTTTTTCTCGCTGCCATTGTCACTGCGATTGCTCACAACTGCAGTTGGACCCCCCACGCTCTCTCAAGCAGCATGCCTACGTGCCTCCAGACACAACCACTTCTCCTACCCGCTGCACCTTTCCGCAGAACCGCTAACCACCCTCACCTGGAACTCGACGTGGCGCGGGCGCACGATGGCCTTCTCCAGGTACACCCCGTCGTTGCCGAACGCCGCGCCCGCCTCCTGCCGCGCTTGCTGCTCGCGCCGAATACGCGCACACGGGGGAGAAGGGGGGTTGTGGGGGCAAGTGGTGTAAGCGTATTGGGAGAAAAAGCCCAAGAAACTGGTGTATGGAGACCTGAGGTCGCTAAAAGTACAAGTTCTGGTTTCTTGCGAAAGCAGTCAAAGGACGTCTGTGAAACAGTAGAACAGAGGCATGAGCGTCACATTCTAGATGAGGCGCAACACGCTTATCCCATCTCATGCGATGGGCGCATCGCCACGCCATGCAGCCCAACCGACCTGGTAGAGCTTGACGAAGTCCTCCCTCTCGAGCACGAGGCGCATGCCGCGCCCTCCGCCGCCCGCCGTGGCCTTGATCATCACCGGATAGCCCATGCCGTCCGCCACCGACAACGCCTCCTCGACCGTCTGCACGGGAAGGGGGGAAGGGGAGGAGGGGAGGGGGGGAGACGGGCGGTGTGGGTGGTGGGGAGCAGAGGTTACTCTGGTGCCAATTCCATGGTCGTGCTTGTAACTGTATGTGCATCCGTGTTCGCTAGTAAGTGTGCGAGAACAGTTGAGTGAGAGTGTGCATGTGAGAGGGTGCATGTATAGTTGTGCGCGTGAGTAGGTATGCTCATCAATCGTCGCACTCACGTCGATCAGCCCTTCACTGCCGGGCACGGTTGGCACGTTGGCTCGTCGCATGGTCTCGCGCGCCGTCGCCTTGTCGCCCATCAGGCGGATGCTGTTGGGCTGCGACACATACAGCAGTCGCATGGCAGTCGCATGGCAGGAGAGGAAAGGAGAGAGCATTACGGAGCGAACGGGGGAGGTGGAGGAGAGATGAAAGCGCTGGTAATTCATGGTGCTTACTGATTGGACACCATGCTCCGCCTTAAACCCCTCTTATCAAGGTCCCGCAGCAGTCATGCTATTTGAAATCGTGTTACCTTAGGCCTTGCATGAGTCCAAGGCTCCCGCAGCCCGGCCACATCACCCCACCACCCTTTTCCCACCGCATTTCACCCCGCGCTACCCCACGGCACCGCGCGGTACCGCACCTTGGGGCCGATGAAGTTGAGGCCGTGGTCGGTGCAGATCTCGACGAACGTGGCGTTCTCGGCCAGGAAGCCGTAGCCCGGATGCACCATCGTGCACCCCGTGCTCACCGCCGCCGCCACCAGGTTCGGAATGTTCAGGTACCTGCCAGCGGCGAGCGCGGGGGGGCATCGC